TATGTCATTCCCTTCACCTCTCTTCCCCCTCCCTCCCTCCCTGCCCCGTCCCTTTTCAGGGACCCCTCTCACAAGACTCTTCTACATCAAGAGGTGTCGCGCTTTCTCGTATTAGGGGCAGTGGAAAGGGTGCCGACACCCTTCTTGGGGAGAGGATTCTACTCTCGCTATTTCCTCACCCAGAAAAAATCAGGGGGTTGGAGGCCTATCCTGGGCCTACGTCGGCTCAACCATCATCTGAGAAGGCAGAAATTCAAGATGGTCACGCTATCATCGATCATTCCGGCTCTCAACAAAGGGGATTGGTTCATGTCCCTCGATCTTCAGGACGCCTACTTTCATATAACGATACACCCAGCGCACAGAAGATTCCTTCGGTTCACAGTGGGGTCTGACCACTATCAATATCGCGTACTGCCTTTCGGACTATCGGCGGCCCCACGGGTTTTCTCCAAGACCCTGGCGGTAGTGGCGGCCTACCTGCGACGCCTCGATATTACAATCTTTCCATACCTGGACGATTGCCTGCTGAAGGCTTTCACACTCGACGAGGCTACGAGGGCAGTGTCTATAACTACCCCTCTGTTCACAGCCCTCGGACTCATAATCAATCTCGAGAAGTCCTTCCTAATACCTGCGGGTCCGGACTTCCTTGGCATGGTGGGACAGCCCCAACAATATGCTAACAGGGGTCCCCTTTCATGCCCGCAAACCATCACTGCAAATCACCACAGATGCCTCTCTGCTCGGCTGGGGCGCTCACCTTCAGGAACACCGGACGTAGGGTCTCTGGACGCCCCAGGAATCGCTACATCATATAGATTTTCTCGAGCTGAGAGCAGTCTTCAATGCTTGCAAACACTTTCTGCCCATCATCCGAGGACGCTCTATACATATTCTCACCGAAAACATATGCCCGGTGTATTACATCAACAAACGGGGGAGGGGGGGGTCGCGTTCCCGCTCTCTTTGCGCAGAGGCTGTGTGCCTGTGGAATTGGGCGATTCAACAAGGTATCACCATAACCGCAGCATACCTTCCTGGCAAGGACAGTGTGATCGCCGATATTCTGAGCAGGCATTTCCTCTCACAACACGAGTGGGAATTACACCCCGAGGTGCTCCGCGACCTCTTCCTGTTATGGGGCTTCTCCAAGGTGGACTTGTTTGCCACTTGACACAACAGGAAATGCCCTCAATATTGCTCACGAGCGGGCATAGGCACAGACTCTCTGGGGTATGCCTTCCTCCTGGACTGGGATCGGCACCAATTGCTATATGCCTTTCCTCAGTACTGAAGAAGATAGCACTACGCGGCGCAACAGTAATTCTGATAGCACCTTTCTGGCCCAGGCAGATCTGGTTAACAAAGCTGTCGAGAATGTCAGTTGCCTATCCACGACGACTACCGGAACTGTCCAATTTGCTATCTCAGAAACACGGCACAATTCTTCACCCAGCCATCGACTGCATGCACCTCACAGCATGGCTCCTAGCTGGCTCCAAGCTTCTGAACTCTCCTGTTCTCAAGAAGTGAGATGCGTGTTGATTAACAGTAGGCACAATACGACGCACAAATCCTATCTCCATAAATGGCGTCGTTTCCATTCGTGGTGCTCGGCAAAGGATCTTGACCCTCATTCGCTGTCTATACAACAGATCCTAGATTATGTGATGCATCTAAAGACGACGGGAATGGCTATTTCTTCCCTAAGAGTTCATCTAGCGGCAATTTCAGCCTTCTGTCTTCCGGTTGACGGCCATTCAGTGTTCACCCACCCTATCACCAAAAGGTTTCTGAAAGGATTAGACAATCTGTATCCGGCCCATAGGATCCCACCAGAGCCTTGGGACTTGCCTCTAGTATTGGACACTCTGACTCACTCCCCTTTTGAGCCACTCGCAACATGTGATCTACGAATGCTCACGATGAAAACGGTGTTCCTACTTGCCATTACATCGGCGCGTTAAGTGAATTAGCAGCTCTTTCTGCCGATCTGCCGTATATGCATTTCTTCAGTCATGCGGCAGTATTGCATGTTCAACCAGCGTTTTTGCCAAAAGTCAACTCTGCTTTCCACATAAATGAACCCATAACCCTGCCGACTTTCCACCCAAAGCCTCACTTCTCATTGGAAGATGCACGTCTACACACTCTAGATGTCAGGCGAGCACTGGCCTTTTACCTGGACAGAACTCGAGTCTTTAGGAAGTCTCAGTGACTTTTCCTTTCTATAGCCGAGCGCTCCAAGGGAAAGCAACTTTCTGCGCAGCACATTTTCCGCCTGGTCGTTGCTTGCATCACACAATGTTATGCCTTGCGCAACAAATCTCTTCCAAGTGGTCTTCGTGCTCATTCCACCCGGGACATGGCGACATCCATTGCCTATCTTCACGGAGTACCGTTGCAGGACATATGCCGTGCGGCAACCTGGTCATCTACCCTCACATTCGCTAGACACTACGCCCTCGCGAACATATTTACCTCTGATTCAAGGGTAGCTCAGGCTGTCATGTCTGCAGCACGAGGCCGATAGGCCCGAAGCACTCATGTAATGTTAGACCACTGCTGTGTACTCACCTCAAATGGAGCAACCTCGGGGACACTACTCGATGAAGAAAAGAGTGTTACTCTTTGTGCAGTAACGTCTGTTCTTCGAGATGTGTGTCCCCATGGGTGCTCCACGACCCAGCCTCCTCCCTGCTTCGGAGCTTCTATTTATATGACTTTCAGATGCTTCCGGTTGGGAGGAAACTGACAAGACCGGACTGCGCTCAGATGAAAGGCGCGAAGGGGCTGTCGCGCATGCGCAGTCCGGTAGGGGGCTACTGCTAATGAAAAATCCTCCGGTTTGCGGCGCCGGGACGAGCCCAGCACCTCGAGTGGAGCACCCACGGGGGGACACATCTTGAAGAACAGACGTTACTGCACAAGGTGAGTAACTCTCTTCTATTTTATCCAGTACTAGGTACCAAACTTAACATGTAGTTGCTGAATATGCTGTTATTTTATAAAGAAATCAGGTTCTTAAAGGAGAAGATTGTATCAGGAATCTGACTGATATAAATGTGAATGATTGTTATGGATCAAGAGTAGAATATGGATTTGATGTACTAAATAAACTTGTGTTATCATTATTTATTACCTGTTCTGTGCTTTTATATATATTCAGCCTCACAGTGCAAAAATGTTTTCTCCATTGAGATCGGTGTTATTTCAGCCCTATATTTCCTTTCCTTCACAAACCTTTTTTTCTTGTCCCTGTCCTTTTGCATGTGTCCTTTCCCCTTTGCACTTTGTTTCCTGTAGCAACTTCCTTCTTGGCTTCATTCCTGTCCCCCTTCATCCACTGAACTTGTGCTTGATGATATGGGTAATGCTGCCACTTCAAGTGTTGGCTTTGGATTTTTTGAGTTGACATTCAAATGTGGTTTACAGCTCTCTGAGTCAGTGTATCAAATTGTCTGCTTTCAGGAAGGCAAGATTATTTTGGTTACACTCCTTTTGTTATTTATTTTGCTTACATAACATTTTTAAAGGTTTCTTTAAAAAAAAAGCTTTACATTGTGCAGAATCTAAAAATACCATGTACATCACAAAAATACACAAAATATGTTGGCGACTGACTCCTCTACTATAAATACTGTCTGATGCAGGAGGGTAGCAGAGAGACAGAAAGACTTCACTCATGACACTTTTTGAGCTGGCAGTAGAGTAGTTTTACAGATACCTTCTGAAGAGGCAGAATTTAATAGCATTAAGGGAATAAAGAATTTTATAGTGACTTTAAATACAAACCTACCGGCTTTCATCTTCAGGTCTTCAGTGTAAATAGGGAATGTATATGTTACATATTACTACTAAAAAAAATCCCAGCTGTATATACGGTTGCCTTGTTAGGCGGTAACTTGGAAATATAGCTCAGGCCAGTGAGTCTTGGTCCTTCCATGGATATGCAGGGTCCGACATTGGAGCTAGGACTGAAATACACTACATGGCATTTTGACACTTTTGCTGCATGGAGGGTGCCATTTTTTTCTGAAAACCACTGTGCTACATCACAAGTGCTTCAGCAGCATAGCTGCAGTGCTGCAATTATGCCTTTGTACTGCTTTTAGTACATGTACTGCTTTTAGTACATAACTGCTTCCTTCGTTGATGGAATGGGGTCTTACATTTGATGTACTTAATCCACTTGTCTTCCATTGACTTAGCGGGGTCCAAGTTCAGGAATTGGGCTGATCTAACTATGGAATTCAGGGGGCAACGTTTTTCACAGGCCTGAGTGATGTAGCTAGATTGATATAATTTTTTAGAGTAGGCCTGGCGTTATTCATAGTAAAAAGTCCCATTTTAATAAAAACTGGCGTTTTGAGGGAGAGAGCTCACATTGCATACACTTTTGTTACAGAGATGAGATCTACAATTTTCTGTTTTCTACAATAGAAAATAAATTACTATAATTGAGATGAGCAATGGAAAGCTCAATATTTAATTAGAGATTGAGAATGCAAATACTGAGAATCTGCAAATAACACTCACAAGAATTGAGTTTTGGTCTAACTTTAACTCAACATCCACCCTTACATGATCTCCACATTGTTTCTATTTGTTCTGCTGGTTTCACATAGTTAATGCTTTAAAATATTGATGATACACTAGAATGTAAAAAGTTTCCCATCTTTCTTGTCAATTTCATGTTAGGAAGCTGCCATGAAATTGACAAGACAGACAACAGGAAATATAAGTAATGTAGTGTCTACACAGACACTGTGTTGCCTTAACTGATATAAGCTTTGTGCCTCCCTTGGAGATGGGGTTATTATGTGGTAGGGCACTTACATCTATGGGAGGAAGGCTATAGTGTAGACAGTGACATAATTAGGTCTACATAAGCTGCCTAACTGTTTAGTGTAGACCTCTTGGAGTGTACAATGTATATCCTTACACAGTATGTACTCTGTCACTCTAGAGTCTGAATGTCCTCTGTTTATTCACAGGTCAGGTGTGGTGATCATATGCCCACGTACTTCGTGTCCTCTAAGGAAACTACTTTTCAGAATGAAAAGTGTTTATAGAGATGTAACTGAAGAAGGATATAAACTGAAACAGACAATGCAAAGTAGGGTAAGTGCTATCAGATCATGGAGGCCTTGATGTAGAAAACATATTTAGTTTGTTTATTTTAATTGTGAGTTCTCTTAACTAATAACAGCCATATCAAATTTTAAGAGTCTATTCACTCTTGTTCTCACTGACTTTTCCTTATGTTAAATATTCATTTGCTAACCCCTCAGATGCCTTAAGAAAATAAGAGTTGGGACTGTGATATTGGAATTCAGTTCCTTTTCAATCAATGTTCCTGATGCTAATTTAATACTTCCATATTTGAAGAAATGTACATATGTTACAGGAATCTATAGTGCTGTCTGTCTGCCCTGTTAAGATTAGCACTGTGTCTTTTGATTTAGCATACCATTCACTACAGTTTTATTCAATTAGAAGAAAATACTAAAATCCATTATATTCTCTTACTGACTGGATAGACAAGGCAGTTCATTCGGTTGTATGATGCATATTGTAAACTAGATAGCTGAAGTGCTCAAATATTTGTAAATTAAAATTTGAAATTCTAACTTATTTAACATTTGAAATCTAACATTCAATTTAAATTATTCTAGTTATAATTATAACCTAGATTCTGAGTGAATGCCTACTTTGCTATTTATGCTGACTGTGTACATTTGCTTTTTTATAGTTTGTACTTCCTAATTGGAGTTTGCCAGTTCTGTTGGTTATTTAACTACAACAATGGCAACAAGAGTAGAGATCAGCTCTGCTTTAGCATCCTTAACAACAGTACCTGATGTAAATGACATTACACGTGAGACTAAAACACAACATGCATACATCAGTCCTCTTTTAGATATAAGCAAGAAGGCTAGTGAACCTTCCAATTCTTCAGCACCAATAATTCTTGAAGAAAAAAACAAATTTGGGAGCACTTGGAGACCAGCCACTATGCCTACTCCTGGATCAAGACCAAGGCTTTCTCCAAAGCCATTTTCTAAGGAGAAACCTTCAGATACTTTTGCAATTGTGAAATCTCCCATTACAGCTCTCAAACCAAGTAATTTTGTCCGCAAGTCCTCTGTGTATGGAAAGCCTACTGAAGAAATAACAGCTGCTAAGGTGTTAAGTGGAAATGTCCCACTATTAGTAGATCAGAAATTATTTGAAAATGAAAATAAAGACAACCATGAATTAGTCACAAATATGGCCTTTTATTCAAGTCACAGCAGAAATACTGTGATTCTTTTTGGAACAGCTAGCACTGAAAAATCCAAGGAATGTTTAACTCAAGATAAAAGATCTGTTGATGGGCACAGAACACTTGGTACTATACAAACAAAAGAATGGCAATGTGATGCAAAACCTGAAATATCATCTCAGCCACCTTCTAGAAAACCAGAAGGTAGTCTTCACAGACAAATATCTTTTTCAGCAGACCCCAGACCAGTCTCCTGGAATCCTCACCAATCTGGTGAAGAAAAAGCTACATGCGAAGATCCTATAGGTGAGAGAACCAAAGATCTGGGAAAATATGCCAACAATGAAGTTGGCTTATTAACTGAAGTACAGCAAAAGCTAAATCATAGACCAGTATCTGCTATTTTTTTGGAATTGTTAAAAGATGAAAAGTGTAGCAATTTGGAAGTCTCTGAAGAAAAATCTCCTACAGAGAAATCATGGGTGAGAAAACCAAGGCCTTTGTCCATGGATCTAACTTCCAAATTTGAAAATAAAGACCTGTGCAAGAAAACTTATCCATCTGATGAGATCAAGGAGAATATACCTGTATTTCACTCAACTGGTACAAGCTCTCAAGAACTGTCTGGCATGAGGTCTGAAGCTGAAGAAACAGAATTGAATAAATGTGATCTTTCTAAAGCAAATTTGAAGTGTAACAGTCAGGACACCGGCTTTCTTGATCTTAAAAACAAACCTAGTAAGCAAAACCAGAAAGTCTTTCAAAAAAATTTAGACTCTATCAGCCCAAACTTTACAAAAGATTATGTACAGAACTCTGCAAAGGATAAAAAATATTCTTGGGAAACTAAACAGAAATCTAAAGATGAACAAGATGAGAAAAAAATGGACTTGTACGGCTCTGAAAAAACTAAAGGGATGGCTAATAATAAAAGTGACACAATTAAGGAGGGGAAAATATTGGATCAAAAGGAAACTTCTGGAGTTTCAGTCAGTGAAAATTCTACAGCTTCCTCAAAAAAAGAAAAGTCCTTAAGGGGGAGCGTTAAAAAACACGTCAGTTTGTTTTCTGAGCCAGCAAACAGTGCTACTCCAATGGACACTGAGCCTCTCCTGGCAGCCAGTGAGATGGAAAACAGAAATGTGAACATCCAACAAAGAATCAGAGCACTGACAACAGAAAATGCAGATGTTAAGCTAGGAAATCCACAAAGATCACTTAAGTCACGACCACTTTCTGCCAACCTAATGAAGTAAGTTATGGAAGGGAAGTTTAACACTACTCTTTTCAAGTTTCAGTTAGTACAAAAAAAATAAATTAGATATCACGGTTTAGATAAATTAAATATTAGGTACCACAGTTTCTTAGTTGTACTCTTCCAACATAATTTTTTTTAATCTGTCCATAATACATTTCTCCTGACAGTTACTGCAAAAGTATGCTGTCAATAATATTAATTTTTGCATGCTACCTTTGCAGAAATCTGGGTCTGAGTAATATTAGCTCTCACAGTTGTGTATTTTCAAAGATGTAAAAGATAACCTGAATTTTCATTTGTTCAGTGACTTCCATTGTGTTAGCTTTAATATTTGCTTTAATTTTATTTTCAAAATATTTCTAAATCTTTTGTGCTTGATGCAAATTAGGGCAGATCTTTATCCATCTCACCTAAGTGACACTATTCTATCAGGTTTTCTATCAGACAGGGATTTTATTTCACTACAGGTTGAACCTCCCTGATCTTGCATCCTTGAGACCTGACTGGTCCCAAATGAGGGGATTTCCCAGACCTGGGGAGGTCCCCTGCCACCAGCCTCTGCAGTCTGCCTCCAGCTATGCGTCTGGCCCTGGACAGTCATCCTGCCAGGCTACCTGCTACTGGCTTCAGCTTGATTTCCCTGATTAAGTAGCTCGGATGTGTCCCATTACCACCCAATTATAGAGAGAGACTGCAGAAGTGAAATTTGTTTACAAATTTAACACTTTCAACCTGGGCTTTGAATAAAGATATTAATTGGTTAATGTACTACAAAGCCAGTTTTCCCTGCCTTTGACATATGCATTTTCACATCAAAAGCTATGAATAAGGTAGATCCAGCCTGCTTAATTAGCTTCATTAGCATCGGTTACTGCTTTAGCTGTTATATATACCTTGGATTCTATTATTTCCACTCTAGCATAGCTGATGAAATAGGTTTTACCCATGAAAGCTCATGATTCTACTAGTTTTTAAATGTACAGACTAACACAACTACCCCTAGAACCTTATATCTAGTTTGTTAATTGTAATGAAGGCTTTGGCTTTGTTTGCTGATAAGTTTAGGCATACATAAACCATTAAAACAAGATAAGATTTGTTCTATGACATAAAGCAGTTTTTCCAAAAGTTTTATAAGAAATTGAAGCATTTAAAATTATATGAAATGAAATAATACATCAGATATTGTGCATTTGAAAAATATGCCAATTGGATAACTACCTACAATTGTTTGTTTTCATCCACATGTAAAAGAAATAATATATTTTTGCAACAGGTTTTCAAGTCCAGGATCAGCCAATGAAATTAAACCTGAGAAACCTACTGAACTGAACAGTGACTTTATTAGTGAAACACAAGAAAATCAAAAGGTAAGAAAGTGGTCTTCCAAACAGAATTGTATTAGAAAATGTGTAGCATTATGTCATCACATATGACTATTTAAAGCAACGATTTAGAAACTGGCATTATGAGTAATAAGAATAGCATAATCCTAATTGGTTTACGTTGGTAATGCCTTCTTTAGGCCACCTGGCAATGTTCAGAAATCGTGTACAGGTTTGGTTAATATATATGGGTACAAAACCATAGATCACGACAACAACTTACACTTATTAACTTCTGAAGGACCTTTTATCAATTCAAGCTTTTCTAATATACCATTATATTAAACTTGATTTTCATTTTGTACAAGTTCTTCAAGTAACATTCAGTTCTAATGGTCTATGATAACACAGTTCTGCATAAAGAATGTGATGTGTCTTATGTGTCTTATTCTGCCCTATCTTAAAAATTGATAAATATATACAAAAACATAGTTTTTAAGCATAATATTGAAGTCCTGCACAATCAACTTTTCTGCCTAAAACTGTAAATCTTTGTTTACATGACCATTTAACAATGTTTCTTTAGGCATTTTTTCCCTGAGTCTCCAGATGTTTGGGCTAAAGATGTTAAATATTGACTAATTGAATAGTCGTTGCATTTTGTCCTTGACATCTCTAGTTTGGGCATGGAATTTTTTTTCTTCTTGCCTTATTCTTGTCCACAACACATTTCTGTTTATTTTTTTAAAGAAAAGGGCCAATTTCATAATAAGAGTCAAGTGAGTTATTTTTAAAGAAGAATAATTGAACAATACACAGAAATCCAGACTTTACTTTTTGATAACTTTTTTGGGTAGTGAAAAATTGTTCTCTTCACCAGTTGACCTATATTAGGACTAAATGTTAGAAAATCCAGAAAATCAGAAATTGCAATTTGAGGAAAGATTTAAAAGCTTTTAAAATAAGTTCCATAGTACTAATTTTTTTTTAGTTCATTGAATTAAAACTTTAAAAAATGTAATGGAAAATTTTAGAACTAATCTTTTTCAATGCTTTCTTGTACTCCCACAATGAAAACTATTAAAATGTTCCAATAAAAGCTACAGTACGTAAAATCACTGACTATAGATACTGTGTAAGACCTCTCTAAAACTGTTTTGAAAATAGACATGCGCCCCCCCAAATCTGTTTATCAAACTTAATTTTTCTTTTACACTAGTCTTTTTCTAACAATGAAATGTGCTCAGAATTGCTACCTCACCCCACAGTCCGCGTCAACTCTTCTTCACTGTTTCCTCAAATTGCAATTTCTGATTTTTTTTATAACCATTACTAAAGTTGCCATATTATCTCAGTGACTCCCAACAAGAATGAGTTAATCCTTGCCACACCTTGCGAACAATTATTGTTCTCCTCTTAAAAAGAAAGATTCAGGCACAGAAAGGTTATGTGATTTGATCATGGTTACATAAGAAGTTAGTGACAGATCTGAGGATGTAAGCCTGGGGCGGACTGGCTATCAAAATAGGCCCAGGAAATGGGTTGAGAACAGCCCACTTTTTCACATCAAAGAATTTTTTTAAACTTTACTCTTTGACCCTCATTAACCACACCCCTGGCCCTGTTAACCACACCCCTGACCCACATTAGCCACACCCCTTGTCTCCCATTAGCCAGGCCTCTGGAGGTAACACTCTTGGGGCAAGATGGACACATGACCAGAAATAAAAGGTGTCATGTGACCCCTCTAAGAACCTTTCCCACTATCCTCCTACCAATAGGGATTAGTTTGGCCCCCACCAACCCACCATCATGCAACTATCCTGCAGTTGCATTAACCCAATGTGTGTGACATTAACTTGGAGGTGGAGAGGCTGGGGGAAGTGTTCCCTCTAAGTGTTTCCTCCCATGAGCAGAATGAATTTTGTGTTGTGCACCAGTAGAGTTCATGTGGCTTGTTTGGATGTGCCACTGTGGCATGCAAGTTTTATTAATAAATATCTTATAAACCTCCACCTTTTCCCTCTGCTGCCATGTCTCCTCCCCTTGGTCCATCAGCTCCCCTGGTGCCTGCTCCCCCCCCAATCCCTCATCCTCCTCTACTGTCCTGACTTGGACTCCTGCCCTTCTCACTGCCCTCAGCCCTCCCGAGACCTGCCCCCCTCCACTAGCCCTTCTCTCCCCCCTATGCCCACTCCTCCAGTAGCCCCACTCTGATCATGTGAGCTACCCCTCCTCATCCCCTCTCCTAACACCTTCCTCTATACACCAGCCCTGCCTCTCTCCTCTGGTGCTGGTCCCTCCCCTGCAGGTGTCTGCCCTTCTGCTTCTCCCCCAGAATTCCCTGGCACCTGTACCTTCCCTTACCGCTGCACCCTCCTGATGCCTCCCCCTGTCCCCTTTGCTCTCTTTTTCTCTGATGCCCACCCCTCACTACCCTTTGCCCCCCATGGTCCTCATGCCCTGTGCCCTCACACAACTTGCTCCATCCCTGCCTTCCTCATGCCCATCCCTTCTTTCAAGCCTTATCCCAGCACCTCCCCTCCAGCCCCCAATGCCCTTCCCCTCTCCACTCCCAGCATCAATCTGTCCTCCCTCCCACTGACACCTCCCCTCCTGCCCTTTTCCTCATTGTCTGCACTTGGACCCCTGGCATTCTGGAGTATAATTTAAATGCACGTAATCACAGCAGATTAAAATATACCATAAAAGTCTGATCTCAGTACTCGTGTTCAGAGCCATAACAAGGGTGGGGCAAGTGGGGGCAGTCGCCCCAGGCGCAATACATTTAGAGGCACAAAATTAGAAACTTAAAATATTATTTCATTTATATCTTTACTATCATCTATTTGCAATCTCAATATATGTGCAATTAACATGTGGTATTAAAAAATAATACCAAAAAAATAAGAATTTTATCATTTTTGGGGGGGGGGGAGCGCAGTTCAGTAGCTTGTCCCAGGTGCAAAAAACCTTAGTTTCAGCTCTGCATGCATTTAATTTTAATTTGTTATTACATCAAAACAATCAAATGGTAAGAAATTCTTATCCAAAGAGCTCCTATCTTGGGGTATGCAAATTTACACC